TTATGCCCAATAGCCCAGTAGGATTGGCACTCACTTGGGATGGGAGAGGGTACTCCCCTAGGGGAGTACCCTAACCACCAGGATATGGAGTCACTCTCTCCCCGTCTGGCACATTAGCCATTCAAGAATTTTATACAAAGTGGAACAGCTTCAACAGGACAGCCAGAGAGAATCCCACCCCAGGATACCCTATAGTCTAGGGGTTAGGGCACTAACCTGGGGGAAGCCTGGGTTCAAGTCCCTACAACTCCAGAGCAGGTTTCAAACGTGGGTCTCCCACATCCCCAGTGAGAGCCCTAACTACAGGGCTAGTGGTAGGGGGGAAAGTGATGGCAGCTCCTCCCCTCCTCCATTTTGTGAATAGCACCTTATTCCTCTTGTGAATCTAGCCCCACAAAATGAAATGTTTTGTTTTGATACAATTTGTTCTGACATTTCTGGAATTTTTCTTTTTTTAATTTCAGCTGAAACGAGCTGCCAATCTGACCTGAAACTGCATTCTTTGGGGAAAAAACAAGTTTTGTCTGAAGCATTTCACTCAGCTCTACTGAAAAGTGACAAGACTGAGGATGAGCACTGCAGAGGGTCTTCTGTTGACTGAGTCTCCCACCAGACTCTGCCAACAGGGAAAGAATCACAGAAAGGGGTGATGGTCATGCGAAGGGATACAACATTCAGGGATCTATGTGGGAGAAGGACTATGTGCCAATATGTGGCATGTGACACTGGGCAGTTCTCGCTAACAGCGGGGAAGCTGGTCTCTGTAGCTCTTATGCTATCTGCAACAGAAAATCCCCGCTCTTGATGTCAAGTCATAAAAGCAGCCAAGACTGTGGATGCCTCTCTAACAAGTTAGGGATGCTACACATCACATCACATTCTGCTGAACAGAATGCCAAGTGAAGATTCAAGGTACCCGACTGGTGAATGTTGTTGACTTGTAGGCAAGGCTCTCCCAGAGGCTTTATAGCATGTTTGTAAGCAAGAGTCTTATGATGCGTTGTAGTAACGTTAAGAGTGGAAAAGTACTGGCTTATGACAACCTTTGTCATATTTCCTAAGACTAATATGTATTTTTAAACATACTAACCACAATAACAGAGGTATGAGTTAGCCAAATGTGAAGGACAAATCACAGATGTTCAGTCATGTAGTTAGACATTTATAAATGTAATGAGTTAGGAAATATACTAAAATAAAATATTTGCAGGCTGGGGGAAAAAAACCTACAGTAATGAAACTTAAACAAGTTGGGTATAATAGACAAAACCAAGACAGTATTTAAAAAAAACTGTCATCAGGTTGCAAGGCATGGTTCTACAAACTTGGTAATATATACTTCTCTTTTGTGTTAACCATCGCTTAATAAATCAAATCAAGCTAAGTTACTTAAGGTCCCCTTACTTAATTATATTCAAACCTGTAATACTTAATTAAATTGATTAAAAATGTATAGGGCATTTATTATCTAGTAATACTCTATACATTCCAACTGAACCAACGTCATCAGTAAAGAGATCCCTGCTTTCAGCTTGCAATACTCATGCTATTGCATGGCAATTCCTGGAGATTAATGACCTGAGGGGAGCAGTTCACGTGACTATTAACCCCAGAAAAACCCTGAAGTTACTGCCAAGTCAGCATATTCCTGTCCCAAAAAGGGAGACATTGCAGCATTTCTTAAAGATTTCTAGGATGAACGGTTCACACTGGCAGAAAGCTCAGCAAGCCCCACTGTGGGTACCTTCCAGCTGCATGAGTAATACAGTGTAAAGAACCCAACGTTTAGAACCAAGAATAAAAATGGAAAAGTTACCGAGAGAATGAGAGTGAACTGAAAAGGGAAGCGAGCGTGCCTTTGCCATTATAAATAAGGCGACAGAGACAGGAAGGTACAACTCTCACTGGGGCAACTCCTACCCTATCATGAGTGCTTAGGGCTTGGGTGCAATGGAACTGATGTGGCTCTGTCTGCATGGAGGATCAGGGAGTTCACATACAGGGTTCCACACATTCTACCTTCCACTAAGCACAGAGGGTCCCTGCATCCCAGCGCATGGGAGATTGCGGGGTAAGGTAGGTCAAGTCAGATGGGGAGACTACAGGGATCCACTGGACATAAACATGTGTGGGAGGGGAAAAAAGGGAGGCACGCAGTAGGAGTGCCTACAGAACTCCGTCTGCAGCTCTGAGGGCTTAGTGACAGCTAGAGAACCACTCTATCATCTGTTTGTGACCTGAAGGGCAAAGGAAACATCTTGTTTTTAGAAAAGGAGTACTTGTGGCATCTTAGAGACTAACAAATTTATCTGAGCATGCTTGGGGGTCGCAAAGTTATGCGACCCCCGAGCATGCTCAAATAAATTTATTAGTCTCTAAGGTGCCACAAGTACTCCTTTTCTTTTTGTGAATACAGACTAACACAGCTGCTACTCTGAAATCTTGCTTTTAGTGAGTCATCACTTTTAATAATGCGCTAACTTGCTATGTCAGGTATTGGGAACATTGTTGAGGCAATCCAACTCCCTGACTCCAGCAGAGATATGGGTCTTTCCACAAACTAAACCCATCCCTTCCAGCAATAGGGACAATTTCCCTCATGGTGCCGTGTTACAAACAAGCAGAATCTCACTGGATGTGAGAAGATTGCTGCCTACCATTGTTTCATTGGAGGTCCCACTGGACCTGTAGGCTACACTTCAACAGCAGGAATGGTGGGCATGTTAACGTGCGCAGCTGGAGTCTGCCACTCAGCAGACAAATGTGCTTCCTACAGTGATCATCAGTCAACTATTAATTTTCAGTCCCAGCTGGGACCGTTAAGACATCAGCACGATTAAATCACCATCCTTAGCATCACTAAGTGCTATCCACGTCTAACAGCAGTAAGTGGACACTGGTGCTGACTCAGACCACACACCTGTGTTTGGGCTTGTTTTTGGACAGAAGCACTAGTGGGAGCATAAGAAGGAGGCCTGCCAACCCTTCTGTTGTGTCTCCCCAGCCCACCAGAAAGAAAGATACATTAGTCAATGTGGGCCACTGATTCCTGTCTTAAACCTGATGATCCTTCCAGCTAGCAGGCAAATACTCCTGCTCTGTATGTCCACATCAACTTTCATCCAGGATCACAAAGTGCTTTCCAACTGTTAATTTAAGTCAGTCCCCGCAACACCCCTGTGAGACAGGTAAGTATTATTCCCATTTTACAGAGGGAGAAACGGAGGCAGAAAGAATGGAAATGACTTGCCTAAAGTTACAGACAGAGGAAGAATTGGGAACAAAATTCAGGAATTCATGACTTTCAACCTTGTGGTCCTCTCTCCAAATCATCTCTGCTGATTTGGACAGCCTTTCCTTGCACACCTACTCCTCTGCACAAGAGGTGAAACTGCTTACTGCACTAGGGATTGGTTGTTTCTGACAGGTGTTCAGAAAAGTGTTTGGGAGAACAGACAGCCAAAACTTCTGAGCATAGAAATTGCACAAGAAACTATGGAAGTCTGAAGTGATCCAGTAAGACTGAGAACACAACCCTCTATGCATTTTCTTTCCATTTACAAAGCTACATGAAATTGCAATTTTACTGCTCCCCTCATACATTAGCAACGTGCATATTTAGAGGGCTAAAGAACCACCATCTGCCCCTGATTTCTCCTATGACCCACTGATTATGCTATTTTGATCAGTATCTTTATAGCCATTACCCCCACTCTTACCACTGTTTGCTTTCAGGTTTCAGAACTTTCACCCTTTATAAATCTACTGTGTTTCAACTGCACAAAAGGCTCATTTCTGGCCTCTCAGTAAGCTTGCCTGTCTAGTACAAGGTGACGCACACACACCCAGAGTGCCAAAATGTTAGAGGTGGTCTAATTTTTAACATGAAAAGAACATTCAGTTTCTTCAAAGGGCGAACAAAGTCTAATTGTTCTGCATGTGAAATTGACGCAAGGCTCGGTGAAGATCAGCAATATGAAATGGCTTAGTTACTCCTTTAAGTTTTCTGCACACAAGCTGTAAATGGGAGAAGTGTGGATGAAGTTTGGGGGATCTGTCTATTGCCGGCAAATACTAGTTTACAAAGAGGAAAAAGAAATTAGCAGGTTGCCGAAATAGTGGACAAGGGTCTCAATCCCATGAGGTGCTGAGCATGTTCAATCTCAGTGAAGTCAATGGGAACTGGGGATGACCAGCACCTTGCAGAACTTGAGCTCAAGAGGAGGAAAGAAGATTATCTGGGTGCTTTTGGGTATTAACTTTCCTTTTTAGGACGTTAACTTAAATAGAAGCTTTTACTGCTGTTTTACAAATCTGCCAGCTTCCAAACCAGGCACCTGGGATCCTTCCTCTGTTTCCAAGCTACAGGCTGTATATTTTGCAGCATAAACTGCACAGAACATTAAGATATGGTTCAAGTAATCAGACAGAACAGTTCTGCTTCTTCTTAATGTGTCAGAGCCTCGTGACTAAGCTCTTGGCAGTGACGATCTCAGCTTGACAAGAGAGCCAGGATGCTTGCTACAATCAGTGCAGGATGCACAAAATGGACCATATTCTATAACAAAGGAGTTTTCAACCTTTTTCTTTCTGAGCCCCCCCCCCCCCCCCAGCACGCTATAAAAGCCTCCATGGCCCACCTCTACCACAACTGTTTTTATGCATATACAGTAGATTAAAAGCCAGGGCTGGCACTAGAGGGTATCAAGCAGAGCAACACCCTGTGGCCCTGCACCACAGGACGCCCTGCAAAGCGGAGTTGCTCGGGCTTTGGCTTCAGCCCCCCACAGCTTGGGCTTCGGCTTTCTGCCCCGAGCCCCAGTGAGTCTAATGCTGGCCCTGTTTCTGGTTTATTTTGGAGGATCCCTTGAATCCTGATCATGGCCCCCCAGGGGGCCCCGGACCCCTAGTTGAGAGCCAGATATCGCTTATTTGACAGTCATGTAACCAGGCACCCAGTTGTGCTGCACAAGTGTTGCCAATTGCCTCATTTTACTAACCTGCCCTACATTGAACGTCAACGTGATGGCATAATAAAAATTGGAATTGGCGCTTCCTGCATAAATCCAGAGATGCCAGAGCACTGGGAACAGCAGGGAGCAGACAATGAGCACGCAGGAGAGGATAAAGATGTTCCGAAGGACTGTAAGAAAAAACAAGGATATTATAACAGTGTAGTTGAGATACTAACAAGCAGCTGACCTCATGTCATCTGAGGATGGTGCTTAGCATGTCTACAGCACCACCCAGCAACTTGGAGGCACTAATTAGAGGGTGTTTCTCTCCACCAGCACAACCTTTCATAATGATAAATATTTGCTATAATAATCCCGCTATTGCGGATAATAAAACAACTGGGATTTTTCTTTAAAAGAAAATAATTTTGCCTGTTTAATTTTAGATTGAATCCCCCCTTTTGCGGCTCTTGCTTCTACTTCCTGGTTTCCAGCAAGTGCTGCTCTGATGACAGCAAAAGCGAGAGACCCCTCAACAGCAGCAGGGGCAGCGTCTCTGGGTTATTCAAGAGCCATTAAAGCTCATTCTCTGAGAGGGATATTACACCTCACCCCAGCATCCAATCAGGTTACTGTGCTTACCTACAGGAGAGCCGAAGTGATCAATTATTGAAGGTACCCAAATCACTTTGGATTAGCCTGGAACCCAGGGGAGCTTTCCAACTGGCTGCCAATGTTGTCATAAAGGATGCAGACCATTCTCCCCTTAATATATTAATTCCCTTTTCATAACTATAATAGGACATTGCAGGATAATAGAATCATAGAAGTGTAGGACTGGAAAAGACTTCAACAGGCCATGTAATCCACCCTTCTGCACTTAAGGCAGGACTACGTAATAACTAGACCATTCCTGACCAGTGTTTGTCTAACCTGTTCTTAAAAGCCTCCAGTGAGGTACTGAACCATGACTGTCCTTCTCGGGTAGCCATGGTCCCTTGGCTGTATGTGCCTGGAGCTCCCAGCTCACCCACGCTGAACCAAGATGTTTTGGAAACGTGCTGCCTTGGTCTATCAGGCCTGGCTGCCTAAGGGATCAAGTCTAACTGATGGAGTTACTGGGCTATATTATCAAGGCTGTTTTATCCTCTGCTATAGTAATTCCAAGACTGGAGGAGCAGCTGTCCTCAAAGGAGGTAAAAAGCCCCACCTACTAGTAGCTAGTGCTGCTACAGAGAACCAGCCATGGGTCACTATAATGAAACCCTGACTACATAACCTTTCAATCCTCTTCATTCTTCTTCTTGTTCCTTTTTGAGGTTTTAGGATTAGCTTGGATTTTCAAACAACATAACTTGTAATGATTTCAAAAGCTTCATAGAAATAACTGGAGCGGAGAGGCAAGGGTGTGAGTCTTGTGAATCAAACCCCCCAGTTTTGGATTACAAAAGCCAAAGGGAAACAAAGATGGGAGGTTTCACATTTCCAGGCCTAACTAGGCCCCTTTGTCTTAAGGCTGAAATTGCTTATTAAGGAAATTGAGGTCTTGTTTGGGTTAGCAATGGATTGACACAATCCAAAGAACAGCCAGGCAGGGTTGGCTGGTACTGACTGCCGTAGCCACCCCAAACCAGTCACTCCAGGAAGCAACACAAATTTTCCTGGAATGTTACACTGCCAGGCTCATTAGCTGCTGAAACATTATCTCAGCAGACATTGAAAGTCATCCTGAGGTGGTACGTCATGGAATAGGAGCCTGTGAAAATGAGCTGTAAGCTACCTGACAGTTATACCAAGTCCAATGCTCAGGGGCTAGAAACGGTCTTTGTGGTCTAAGAGAGGCTAAGCAATGGCTTGGCTAAATGGGGTGATCCAGTCAGCACACATTTTGAATGTGATATCTCTCACACACCAAACTGACAACTGTGAATTATCATTTGTATTACTGTAGCACCTAGGAGCCCCCCTCATCCTGGACCAGGACACCAATGTTCCAGGCACTGTACAAAACACAGAACTAAGTGTTAGAATGGAGAGTTTAGTGACTGGATTAACTGTGGGACTGGTGCTCAGATTACCAGAGCCAGAAACTGAGATTAGAGACACTCCCAACCCAATTCAAAGGGGGCCTGTACTTTATATCAATGATATAATGATAAATACTTTGCACTCATGAAGCATCCTTCATGCAAGGATCTCAAAGAGCTTTACAGACAAGCAATTAATCCTCAGAACAACCTGGGCAAAGAAGGAGGGAAAGTCGCTCACAGAAGTCAGAAACTCTCCCCACAAAGTTCATGGTTTGTATTGATCAGACTTGTTTCCTTCCAAGCAATGGCCAGTCCAAGAGGGACAGTGCCCCCTGTGGCATGCAGTTGTATTGCATAGCCCCAGGCCTCTTCCGGTTTTCCTATCTTCATCCTGCAATGAAGAGTTTTGGGGCAGGTCTACTCTTAAAACACTTCACTGGCGCAGTTGCACTGCTGTAGCGCTTAAGTGAAGATGCTTCTACTCTGATGGGAGAGCTTCTCCCGTCAGCGTAGTTAACTCACCTCCATGAGAGCAGTAGTTATGTCAATGGGAGAAGCTCTCCTGCCGACATAGCACTCTCAACCCTGGGGGTTAGGTCGGTATAACTACATTGCTCAGGAGTGTGGATTTTGCATACTCCTGAGCGATGCTGTTATACCGATGTAAGTCTGGAGTGTAGAGCTGACCTAAGCCCCTCACCTCAGCCATGTCAACAAACCAAGGTTTGGATTGAGAGTGCCACAGGGACTGTGGAAGAATGGAGGGAGGGAAGAATCAAACACAAAGAACTTACATCTGTAAAGGTGGCTCCAGAGCGGAAGGAAGGCCATGTACAGCGCTACGTCTCCCACGGTTGGGTAGGACTTGAAGATAGAAATGATGGCAAGCTGAACGAACAAGAAGAAGATGGGGTGCTCCCTAGAGAAAGGAAAAAGGCAGTGACCGGATATAACAGGTACTGGAGGAGCAGCAGCATTTGTCTCTGAAAGCTGGTGCCCAGGATTGGCAGGACACATGAACATACACGCTCTTGATCTGTTTCCCCAGCAAATCTCCCAGTGCGCTGGGATGCAAGCATTGAGTCAACTTGCAGAGGAGTATTCCAAGGGCATTTGTGTACCTACACATGGATACTTTGGGCACATACACATTGCACACATTTACACAATCATCCTGTTGTGTCCAGGCCTTTCAAGTGCTGCCTTCTGTTGTGGTAGGAAGAGCAACCAATGCTACTTCACTCGGAGATGCTTTTGCCCCACAAGGACTGTTTTGAGAAGCTCCCTGCCTGACAGATTCACCCTATGGCATATGAGAACAGCAGCTGAATACATTCCAAGTCATCATATAACAGTACCATCTGAAATCCAGACAGAATGGCACAGTTCTTATCACAACCCTTTAGTAACTTTCCTGAACCTTTTACTTTACTTTTGCAATGAAGGACTTTACAGAACTGGCTTTGAGTGTCCTGATGTCCAATCCACAGCATGATCCATCTTAACTGCCAGCTGTGATCAAGCATCCCCTCCAGCTGCCCCCCCACTCCCAAGTCCATGTTTTTGACTACTGTATGACATAACCCTACCTATGGGTCAATATGTATTAGGGTAAGAATTCAGCATCTCCTCAATCAGAAATATTCAGCCAGCTTCCTGCATAACTACTCCAACACAAGCATATGCATGGGTATTTTACAATTCACATTCCACAAATAGACCTCTTCCTCCAGGAATGAAAGTATGTGTCACAGACAAAGGCTGTAGGCGAAAATAATGACCTATATATTGAATTTATGACAGTGCAAGCATTTGGTACATGTGTAAGAGACATATTTACAAGGATCTCCACAGTGCAGCTTTCTGCCTGTTTTACAAGCATAAGTAGTTGTAGCCGTGTCGGACCTGAAGAAGAGCACTGCGTGGTTCAAAAGCTTTTCTCTCTCATCAACAGAGCTTGTTCCAATAAGAGATATTACCTCACTCACCTGGTCTCCCTTACAAGCATGAGACAGAGGGCCAGAGTATGTAGAAAGCATCAGGCTCTAAAGCACAGTTTGTTTTTAATTAGGGTTGTTGATTAACTGCAGTTAACTCACATGATTAAAAATTAATCACAATTAATCGCTGTTTTAATCACACTGTTAAAACAACAGAATACCAATTGAAATTATTTAAATATTTTGCATATTATTCTACATACTTTATATATATTCTATTCTGTGTTGTAATTGAAATTAGTGTATATTATTTTTGAATACAAATATTTGCACTGTAAAAATGATAAACAAAAGAAACAGTATTTTTCAATTCACCTCATACAAGTTCTGTAGTGCAATCTCTTTGTCGTGAAAGTGGAACTTAAAAATGCAGATTTTTTTGTTGTTACATAACTGCACTCAAAAACAAAACAATATAAAACTTCAGAGCCTACAAGTCCACTCAGTCCTACTTCTGTTCATCCAATCGCTCAGACAAAAGTTTGTTTACATTTACAGGCGAAAATGTTGCCCTCGTCTTATTTACAAAGTCACCACAAAGTGAGAACAGACATTTGGCATGGCACATTTGTAGCCAGCATTCCAAGGTATTTATGTGCCAGATATGCTAAACATTCATATGCTCCTTCATGCTTCGGCCACCATTCCAGAGGACGTTTCCATGCTGATGATGCTCATTAAAAAAAAAATAGCGTTAATGAAATTTGTGACTGAACTCCTTGAGGGAGAATTGTACGTCCCCTGTTCTGTTTTACCTGCATTTTGTCATACAGTTCATGTTACAGCAGTCTCGGATGATGACCCAGCACATGTTCGTTTTAAGAACATGTTCACAGCAGAGTTGACAAAACGCAAAGAAGGTACCAATGTGAGATTTCTAAGGATAGATACAGCACTTGACACAAGGTTTAAGAATCTGAAGTGCCTTTCAAAATCTGAGAGGGACAAGGTGTGGAGCATGCTTTCAGAAGTCTTAAAAGAGCAACACTCCGATGTGGAAACTACAGAACCCGAACCACCAAAAAAGAAAATCAACCTTCTACTGGTGGCATCTGACTCAGATAATGAAAATGAACATGCGTTGGTCCACACTGCTTTGGATTGTTATCCAGCAAAACCCATCACCAGCATGGATACATGTCCCCTGGAATGGTTGTTGAAGCAGGAAGGGATATGAATATTTAGTGCATCTGGCAAGTAAATATCTTACAATGCTGGCTACAACAGTGCCATGAGAATGCCTGTTCTCACTTTCAGGTGACACTGTAAACAAGACCTGGGCAGCATTATCTCCTGCAAATGTAAACAATCTTGTTTGTCTGAGCAATTGGCTGAACAAGAAATAGGACTGAGTGGGCTTGCAGGCTCTAAAATTTTACATCGTTTTATTTTTGAATGCAGTTTTTTTTTTTGTACACAATTCTACATTTGTAAGTTCAACTTTCATGATAAAGAGATTGCACTACAGTACTTGTATTAGGTGAACTGAAAAAATACTATTTCTTTTGTTTTTTTACAGTGCAAATACTTGTAATAAAAAAATATAAAGTGAGCACTGTACACTTTGTATTCCATGTTGTAATTGAAATCAATATATTTGAAAACGTACAAAACATCCAAAAATATTTAAATAAATGGTATTCTATTATTGTTTAACAGTGCGATTAATTGCACGATTAATTTTTAATTGTGCCATTAATCACAATTATATTTTTAATCTCATGACAGCCCTATTTTTAATTCAAACGAACTGGCTTTGCAGTACTGAAAAAAAATTAAAATAAAGAAGAGAGACACTGAATGTTCCAGAATGACCTTCATATTTGACTTTCAGACTATGGCACTGGAACCTTGCATGCTTTAGGCACAATGAGAGCTTTTTTTTTTTTTTGGTCTTTAGAGCTGTTTATACAACATTCAAAAAGCAAGGCTGAAACTGGACTGACATGTTCTTAAAAAGAGAGGACTCCTAAAGCACAGACAGCAGCCAGTTCCCAGACAGCTGTAAGAACGGGCCCAGCACAGCTATTCTTGGTACTGGTGAAGAAGGGGCGAGGATGCTGTGAAATATCCTGGAGAAGTGGTTCACCGCAGCAGCCTCTTGGGCAGGGGCAGGCAAACTTTTTGGCCTGAGGGCCACATCAGGAAATTGTATGGAGGGCCGGTTAGGGGAGGCTGTGCCTTTCCAAACAGCCAGGCATGACCTGGCCCCTGCCCCCATCCCCCGCTTCTCACCCCCTGATGCCCCCTCCCCCAGACTCCTGCCCCATCCAACCCCCCTGTTCCCTGATGGCCCCCCCGGGACTTCTGCCCCATCCCACCCCCCTGTTCCCTGATGGCCCCCCGGGACTTCTGCCCCATCCCACCCCCCTGTTCCCTGATGGCCCCCCGGGACTCCTGCCCCATCCCACCCCCCTGTTCCCTGATGGCCCCCCCGGGACTCCTGCCCCATCCACCCCCCCGTTCCCTGATGGCCCCCCCGACCCCTGCCCCATCCACACACCCCAGCTCCCTGTCCCCTGACTGCCCCCAGAACCCCTGCCCCTGACTGCTCCCTGCTGCCCCATCCTCTCCTCCTCTCATTCCTGACTGCCCCCCTGGGACCCCTGCCCCGTCCAACCACCCCTTCTCCCTGTCCCCTGACTGTTCCTGGAACCCCTGCCCCTGACTGCCCCCATTCAACCTCCCTGTTCCCCGCCCTCTGACCGCCCCGACCCCATCCACACCCCACGCCCCCTGACCACACACCCCCACTCCCTGCTCCTTACAGCGCTGCCTGGAGCACCGGTGGCTGGTGGTGCAGCTGCACCAGGACAGGCAGCCGCGCTGCCCGGAGCCAGCCACGCACCGCGCAGCACGGAGCACCGGCTCAGGCCACGGCTCTGCAGCTGCGCTGCCCCAGGAGCTTGCAGCCCCACCGCCCAGAGCATCGCGCCGGCGGCGCAGTGAGCTGAGGCTGCGGGGGAGAGGGGACAGCAGGGGAGGGGCCGGGGGCTAGCCTCCCGGACCAGGAGCTCAGGGGGCCAGGCAGGAGGGTCCCACTGGCCAGATGTGGCCCGTGGGCCATATAGTTTGCCCACCTCTGGTCTTGGGAAACGCTGGTCCTGGGAAGCCCTGCATAGGGATGCTGGAAAGACTGCAAAAGTGGGGGGGAACAACTGGAGTTGTGACTCTTATGCGCCAGGTCACAACGCCACTCACTCTAATTTGGCCCAGCTGCCCTCTGTCATGCCAGCAGGGAAGGGACTTTGCCATTACGCCACCCAGCTCTGATCCAGGGCCAAGTGGGGGGCCTGGACCCTCAGGGTCCCCACTCGTGCCCCTGCCAAGCCTAAGTTCTCAAAAGTGGAGGGGCACCGGCACTCCCCACTCCTCCCCCCGGCTCCAGCACCTATGGCCCCACAGTGATGCTAATGCCTTACAGCCAAGAGGTACGGAGATGTTTCCTCACCCTGAATTCGCAGGGCACGGTTGTGTTTGCCTGTCACCACCCATGATCACACACTATTCTTAGCCTTCCAGACTGGCAGACAGGGAGGGAATGGCATGGCTCCAACAGAGGCAGGAAACACACATCAGCTATTACCTCAGAAAACTGCCTGCACTTCTAGGGCAATCTGCAATGAAACAATCTTCATAGCTCCATAGCAGAAGAGGACAGTGCATGCTAGGAGGGGAGAAGTGTGGGAGCTTCCACGATTCCCCATACAGGAGCAGCAACAGTCCCAAGCCTTGACACAGGCAACGAGGGCAGCACCTTCTTCAGAAAACTAGGTATTAAGACGATCTTGTCCTTGCACAGAGCATTTCATGAAAACACTTTACAAACATTAATGGACTGAGCCGCACACAGGTTCTGCCTTGAAGGTGGTATATTCTTATCCCCATTTTATCAATGGGGAAACTAAGGCACGGGATGAAGTAGCAAAATTGTTCCAGGCCACAGAGCTGATTCAGAGCCAGGAACAGAATCCATGAAGTCCTGGCAACCAGTCCCTTGCTCTAACCATTCTGCAGTATTACCTCCCTGGAATGTTTGAGTATCTTGTACATCCCAGTGTTACATGAAGCAATGTGCTTCTCTACAGAAAAGGCTGCATCCCACTATTCTAGAGAACAAGTAAAAAGGTTCTTAAAGGATATGCAGGGTTCTTAAAGGATATGAGGTACATTTTCAGTACACCAAAGACTTAACACCCTTCCCTCCTTGAGAGAAGAGCACCGTCACTTTAGGAAGTGAGAAGGAAAGAGCTGATATAAAACCTAATTCTGCTCTTTTTCATTTCACAGCTCCAGATGTCCGACACTGACCTACACGGGTCTTTACTGGACAGTAACATAACAGCGGGCTTTGTGGGCCGAAATCATTTTTGGTGTAGGAAGTATATCAAGAAGAGAAAGCCTCTATCATTCCCACTCCTGCCAACAGAGACAGAACAGTAGCGACTCCTTAGGTTGGCAGATCACAGAGACAAAAGGGATAGCAAATAAATACACTTACTTTAGCTTTACTGCTAAAGGAATGGTGTAGAAGAAGACATTGATCTGAAATACACACACGAAGAACAGACTGAAGTGTTCAAACATCTCTGCAAAGAAGTACCAGAAGAGGCCAATGTTGGGAGTCAGATCTGGAACGGAAAGGCTGAAATTTAAAGAGAAAAATCAAGGTAACATTTTAAAGCAGTTGGTATTTGACTTACTTGCTTCTATGAAATTACTGAATCATTGTGTGCCACTGGAAGGAAATGTGGTGGTGGGGTGCTATGTCTTACAATGCATTGTGAGGAAACCAAAGGGGAGAAAACTCAGGGAGGGAAGTCACCCTCCATAATTGGCGTCAGTCCTTCTAACTGTCAGCACTAGTTGCATCTTTAACTAGTCGGAGAAAGTTCATCGCAGAAGTACAAAACTGAAGGTGACACATGAAACTGAGGCAGAGTGTACAAGAAAAAGGCTGTATCCACTTACTGAACATCTATGATCCCCAAGATATTTAAACGTCATCATCATCATTTTTCCTTAATGTCTCTTTAAGGCCATTTTATACAGTTAAACACACTTACAGCTTTACTCCTGTGGAGTCCACCAACAGTGACACCTACTGGTCAATTTGGCTAATCCAAAGCACATGCCAAGAAACTTCTAGTTAATTAAAGGGAGGCTGAAGAAACTCAGGACCTTCTCTCCACCTAGTCAGTCTTCTCTAGTTCAGTGGCTCTCAACCTTTCCAGACGACTGTACCCCTTGCAGGAGTCTGATTTGTCTTGTGTACCCCAAGTTTCACCTCACTTAAAAACCACTTGCTTACAAAATCAGACAACAAAATACAAAAGTGTCACAGCACACGGTTACTGAAAAATTGTTTACTCTCATTTTTACCATATAATGATAAAATAAATCAACTGGAATATAAATATTGTACTTATATTTCAGTGTATAGTACATAGAGCAGTATAAACAAGTCACTGTCTGTATGAAATTTTAGTTTGAACTGACTTTGCTAGGGCTTTTTATGTAGCCTGTTGTAAAATTAGGCAAATATCTAGATGAGTTGACGTCCCCTTGGAAGACCGCTGTACACTCAGGGGTACACGTACCCCTTGTTAAGTGCCACTGCTTTAGTTCTTGCTGTGATGGTTTAATGGAACTTGGGTTATATATTTTTGTTCTTAGTGTGTGGGTTTGTTTCCCCTGCATTGCTGGTACATTTTTCCTGAGACTGAAAGCTCTTTGGGACAGGGAATGGGTCTCTGGTATGCATGGATAATGCCTATCATAGTATGGGCATTCCCAGAAAACAAATTACAACTACTTACATGAAACCATACACAGATGGGATAAAGTCCCAGGAGTTGAGGAGGAAGAATGAGAGGCAGACAATCACCACCAAGCTACAGAGATACAGCGCTGCATATTGCGTGGTGTACAACCAGAAGCCTTTGCTTTTCAGTTTCACTGGTATGAACTGACTCTGGAAACAAAACACAAACAAGGAAGATAAGAGGACATCCTGTGGCTTTCTATTAACAAGACCTGCCCTGCTGACAGAAAGCAGCAAATACTGGCCCTGCTACAATGGGAGTAGCAGCATTCAGCACACTCTGCTCCAGTGTGCTCTGCCTTGGCCAATCAAATCACACGCTCTGCCCAGTACTTTCAGAACTGTGCCTGAAAAGTCAGGTAATTTCGCATTCAAGTAACCATAAGGGACCATGTGGTGTGTGTGATTCCCTGATGTATGTGCAGAATTTTGGTAACTCTGCAGCCAAGCAGGCACGCCAGGTTTGGAAATCTGGGTCACCTCTGACAGAAGCTCTACCAGAATTCAGCAGCTCTAAATCAGTGAAGCTGCTTTGCCATTTGGCACCCACATTTGTACTGTACATGCCTTGCCAGGGTCCTGAGAGGCTATTCTGACTCATGGCTGTAAAGGGCTCTGATGGAAGGGTGCTCTGTTCCTCTGAACCATGGCAGATTTAACATCAGAAAACTTTCTGGAACATCTCAAGCCAATTTACACAGACTTCTTGGCAGGATAGACAGAAAGTGCAGGAGAGCACCCATTTAATTCTGCACTGCCTCCCTTGTGAGGTTTGTAAAGTTCAACAAGAAATCCTGATAAACAGAACATCCTTTGGCAGCTCTGAATGCTTTTGAAAGTCCCCTTATAAACCCAAAGTCATTAGATGTTCGCGTATCATCCCAGGTAACCATCTCTGGAAACACTACGCTTATGCTCTGCCACTGCCATGCAGATGTTTTGCTTAAAATAAAGAGAAGTGCATAACTGGGACCATATGCAGGGAACTCACTGCTCCCCAAAGAACAGCAGGGTCTCTTTTCAGATTTAACAAATAGTTTTGACTTTGTAGATGCTCCATTACAGCAAAGATTTAAAACAACAATGAAATTTTCTGGATGTTTTGGAGAAAAATGAAAGACATTTACACGGGGGAAGGAGGAAGAGTCTGTAAGTGACTCTTCTCCATTTTCTTTCAGAGTTAAAGAAATTGAAAATGGGCTTCAGGGAAATCTGTAATGAACATCCACTGTAAAATCACAGAGGGAGTCATGTCAGTAGAAAAGTATGACGGACAGTCATCTGGGACCTGGCAAGATTTTTTCAGACACTACTGATAAATCTCTGTACAGATGCTGGGTAAGAGTCCTTTCACTAGCATCCAAAGCCTTTCCTTGGAGCATCCCCTTGCTTTCCCAGCTAGATGAAATGAGCAACTGATCAGTTTCCATATGGCCCTTTATGATTTAGGCTCTCGGTCAAGTCACCTCTCACAACATCAGCAGAAGACTTAAGACAGGTATAAAGCCACCTGAAACCCCAGACAAAGGGACAGGAAAGGGAGATACTGAATACCATGGTGATGGGTGCGGTAGGAGCACCTAGAGCAGAGGTCGGCAAACTGTGGCCCACAGGACCCTCCTGCCCGGCCCCTGAGCTCCTGGCCTGGGAGACTAGCCCCGCCCCACCCCGCGCAGCCTCAGCTCACTGCGCTGCCGGCGCGATGCTCTGGGCGGCGGGGCTGTGAGCTCCTGGGACAGCGCAGCTGCAGAGCTGTGGCCTGAGCCGGTGCTCTGCGCTGCGCCGTGCGTGGCTGGCTGCTGCCTGTCCTGGTGCAGCTGCACCACCAGCCACCGGTGCTCCAGGCAGCACGGTGCTCCAGGCAGCATGGGGGGATTGAATAGAGGGCAGGGGAGTTTGGGGGGTGGTCAGGGGGCATGGGTGTGGGGCGGTCAGGGAACAGGGAAGTTGAATGGGGGTAGTCAGGAATGAGAGGAAGGGTTGGATGGGGCAGTGGGGGCAGTCAGGGGACAGGGAGCAGGTGGGGTGTGTGTGTGTGGATGGGGCAGGGGTTCCGTGGGGGGTGGCAGTCAGGAATGAGAGGAGGGGTTGGATGGGGAGGCATGGGGCAGTCAAGGGTGGGGGCAGTCAGGGGACAGGGAGCGGGTGGGGTGTGTGTGTGTGGATGGGGCAGGAGTCTCGGGAGGGGGGGCCAGGCCACGCCTGGCTGTTTGCGGACCAGCCCTCCATACAATTTCCAAAACTTGATGCGGCCGTAAGGCCAAAAAGTTTGCATGCCTCTGACCTAGAGAAACAGATTAGATTAGTAGGGAGACACCCATTTCCAGTGAATTATCATTTCTTCCAGTGAACATGAATAGTCTCTTTACCTCATCCTCTCTATTCCACAGCTTTGTGCTCTCTGCAGTAGCTATCAGCATGCATTTGTCTTTTACATCATTACCAAAGAGTTGCCTTCGCTTTAATACCCCTTTCCAGTCTTGGGAAGGTGGCTCTTGGCCTATTGATGAATTAATCTGCTTTGCGGCTCAGTGTTTGTCTTGCAGTACTTTGGGCATCCATGAATAATTAAGGATACCATCTTCTTCAGAATCCCTGGTGCAATCTGATCAACATTCTGTTAATGGAGGAGGAATGAGGCTGGGGAAAGCAGATGTTTGCAAGTACCGCAAGTGTATGCCTGGCACTGTGGGGCAAGTTAGACATTATCACTGCCTTTTGCAGTGCATTGTTGGGCCTGGATAATTCAGGCAAAAGGACTGTCACTATACCTCATGGCACTGAGGCGGAGTCACTATAGAAGAAACTCTGCTGCTCCAAAATTCTCTTTGGTGGTCACGTAACACCAAACACAGCTTTGTGTTTCAGTAAGGAGAACTGCCTGCAAATTTGCAGGCAGGGAGTAAATGAGTTTCTGCTTTCCTCCTCCTATCCATGTGACTCCTGCAAGATGTTAAACCTCCACTGGCCTGGGGAAGGATGAGATTTTTTTTTTTCCTTCCAGATTTTGAGAACTGGCCACTGATTCTCACAACACAGGACCACCATTGCTGGCTGATAGGAATTGGCCCTGCATAGGATGTCAGAGGTTACAGCCAATACAGTTACTCTTAAGAGACTATTTACCTGTAGAAGATACAGCAATGCTGGTGCAAACAAGGTGAGAGGATACAATGACTGATATGTTGCTAAAGCCAGGAATATAGCACTGAGGAGGTTACTACCTGCAGGGAAGAAACAAACCTCAGTTAACAAACCATGATCATAAAGAGGGTCATATTCAAAGAGTCCTTTAAATATCGAGTCACTGCTCAAATTGGAGGAAGTACTGCACAGTACCAGCTGTGATCATCGGAACATCACAACCAATTAGAAGGGGTAAAAATAACTATTTCAGCATGTTCTGGAGCTTGTCCCTCTCTATATTACAGGGACATTGAGACAAGAAGAATGGCTCTGACAAACAGCCAATAGCATGAAACAATAATTGATGCAAGTGGTTTATATCCCTATAATCTACCTAGAGAGATTCATATAACCCAAGTCTCATACATAGAGGTCAGTCACTATTTATGTGGGAGAATGTGTAGTCTGGAGTCATTTCTGCATGAAGCAGCTGTTCTACTAACACTGTGCACTTGAGAGCCCGTTTTCACTGGAATGTCTCAGAGTGCTCTGCGAACATTACTTGAGCCTCACAAGTCAGGGTAGGGAAGTAGCATTAGCCCTATTTTACAGATGTGGAAATTTAGGCACAGAGCTGAATTAAAAATGTTAAAAGTGACCTCTAATTTTGAATGCCTACATTTTTGGTTGCCCAATTTCAGACACCTTTGGGCTGAGCTAACTGCTGAGTACCTGCACTGCTCAACTTCAACTGAAATTGTGGGTGCTCAGATCAGGCCCAAGGCATCTCCAGTTGGACACCAATAAAAGAAAGCACCCCTGACCAGGAGCTACTTCTGAACATTTTGGCCTAATTAATTTGTTCAAAGTTAGTGGCAAAGAAAGGACTGGAAAGCAGGAGTCGTGGCTCAGTCCAAAGGGCTAACCAGTCTATCACACTAGTTCACTCCGCATCACAAACAGAAATAAGCTTCTCTCCTTCACTTCCATCCTCTTTAAGAGAATGAGCAGCACAGACCCTTCACTGGGATTTCTAAAATGAAGAATCCTCTCCCTTTCACAACTACATTCTCCTAGACAGAAACCTACATGTCCTCTGCTTCAGCGAGTATTAGATTAGAGATATCTATGTGCAAAGGCTTGCTATGCAGAAATCTATTGTTATATCAAAAACTTCCAAGAAAATCTTTTACCCATAATCTGAGTCTCCCCCTGAACACACTTTCAACACTAGAGGTTGCCACATACTGATTCAGGAAACAAGCACATGGGACAATTACTACAGAGCAGTGTTTCTTAACCTTTTGATACTGGGGACTGGCTTGTTGTCTTTCTAAAATATGTCAGGGAGCTCTGAAGGACTGGCGTCAGTTCATGGACCAGTCGTTGGGAAACACTGCTATAGAGCAGCTCACTGGGAATTATTCGACTTTGTGTATCACTAAGTAGGTGAACAATTATAGAGCAATACACCAAAGTGGATCTTGTTCACTTATTTTTGCAAATGTAGTTTCAAATATAAACGCTCCTGCTTCAATGGCATAGTCCAACCACTAACCAAATAGGGGTGTAGGAAGAACCTTCCCTTACAGGTATATTAGCTTGTAATTGTTTATTCTGAAGTTTGTCCCTTCTTCCTCTGAGGCATCTGGTACTGGCCACTATTGGACACAAGATAACAGAATAGACTGACCACTGGTCTGGGCCACTAGAGAAATCCCTATCTTCTTATGAGAATATTACAGAGCCGCCCAGATGCTCTGCTGATGCTGACTTAAAGCTAAATTTCTCTTTCTAGTCTAACTATGAGATTAAAGGAACATTATGCCAGTGTCCCTAATTTTTTTAAATAGTAGAAGATATAGAATAGATTACACTAGGCTGGCAGCTACCTTAGAGTTCATCTGCTCCTGCTGCTTCTCTCTCCTCTGAAGCTACAGATGTCTGTAACACCACAATTTGCCGATATCAAACAAGGTTATGATTGCAGGTGAGAGTTAAACAATAGAAACAGGTGAACTCTCATGCAAATATCCTTAAGAAGAAGAAGAAGAAGAAAAAAAAAGGAAGTAACAGTGCCCCACCTCCTCCCCAAAATATAAAAGACAGAGGCAGACTGGTTTCTAAATAGAAAAATAATCAAAGTTGTCCAAGAGAGGGCACCAGCCATAAGAATCAATCAATATTTAGGGAACGTCTTCACTGCATTGTGAACTTGTGTCCTCATATCCCAGGCTGCGCTCGAGCGGCCACACTGATTGTAAAGAACTGCAATTGCTGGACTTGAATCTAATAGCTGTTCCAATGGGTCCACAGTGCACCATGCAGACCTTTTGACTGGGGACTGTGGCTTGAGCTGTGTCCACACTGCAAAATGACAGGGGTTGGACTCGAGTCACTGCAGGACTCGGGCTCTGACCCTCCCACACCTACCAGGGTGTTAGGACCCAGGGTCCCAAGTCCTTGCTGACCCGATTCAGACTGTGTGTGTCTGTGTGGATGGAAGGATGGCTTCAGCTCAAACGTGAGTCCGAGCCTGAGCTGAGCGTGTAGTGTAGACACACCTCACAAGACCAGAGACTTTTACACATATTGGGATGACAGACCTTGTACTTAACTATGCATTTGCCTTTTGCTTCAGTGATTCAAAGCAGACCTTTGACATTGCCTTGACCCAGTCTGTGGTGTGTCTAGTATTAACTGCATTTCCAATAGCTCACAGTTCAAATATTTATAGAAAGATGTGAGCCGGGGCAAGATTGTCCCAGTGCATTACCTTTTATTGTAGCCAAAATGAAGAATGCAATGACAGTATTGTTGATGGCACAGGTGGACTTTGCAACACAAGACATCACTGTGTACGGATTTAAGAGATAACTGAAAAAGAATAAAAACTCAATTACACTCATGCCATTAAACAAAAAAGAAAAAAAAAAAAAAGAAAAATACCAAAGCAAAGGGAGAAATATCAAAGGAAAATGGAAACGATGTGCTGTTTCTTTTTGATTATTTAAAACGTTTACATTGTATGGTTTCCTCTCAACCTCAAAGGGATGCAGCTGAATTGATGCCTTTCAAATGGTGCAAAATCAGATGCTGCACTTGTATGTAAACAGGACTTCATGTCATGGCTAAGGATGGGATGATTGTGGGAGAGCAGAGTGGGAAGTAGGAGATGACAGAAGGAAAAGAGCTCATTTAAAATGCAATTCTGTTCTGAAACGTGATCAAATAAAAATGGCCCTCGTTACTCAGCTGGTCTGCTCCCCCTTTGTATTCAAAGTCACATATGCTGACTTTAGTGACTGAAATAAGTTCCTGATGCATTTTTTACTCCTGTTAGCCCTGAGGAGCCAACATGGCTAAACAGACAGCAAGATGGATTCTATTCCTTCTTGTGCATAAACAGAACTATTTCCTATGTCCAAGTCCGTTACACCTGTGCAACCCCACTGAAGGCAATGTGACTGCATAGGTGCCCAGCAGGGCCTAATTTGGTCTGACAAACCTTTATTGCAGGTGGGATGTGCAAGAAGCAGAGAACCCAGGCTGATGCTCAGATCCCAGGGTAACTCTGCAGGGCTAGCAGTTTAAAATTTTTACTTGTAAACTGAGCACATCTGAGCTGTAATCACTGAGAGATAGCAAACACAGAACCCCACAATGCTCTTTGAGAGTCACTCTTCAGAATGCAACTATATTTTAAAGATACCAGCTCCTCTCTGAAAATTTGAAATGAATGATGCAGCGGTCTAATTTATCTGGGCTCCAAGGAGCAAAGAAACGCTCTGATAGTTTATTGATTCAATAAACAAGACAGCAGATCAACCAACCTCCATTGTAACAAGTCAGTCCTTGGAGACAGGAGATGGGATTATGATTTTGCCAGCTGTTCTCTCCTATGAATATTTATCATACTACTGGGTTCTCACAGTCCAAGGTTGGCCTTTTCATAGGCCTGAAGTTAATGGCTACTTCAAATACCAGAGAGATATTACATGCAGCAGGTTATGCTAAGATGCAGTTCCAGTATTCCTTTGTGATATTGTGCACCAAGTGTAATAAAAAGGAGAAATAAAGAAAAAAAAGAGGAAAGTTTCAGCTTTCTCACCCTGGGGGAGTTGGTGGTTTACTGACCTATACAATTCATATCAGGACAGGAAAGAATCATTAATGTTTCTTTTATGAAAAACCTTCTTCTGATCAAAGGACATCAATGGTAAGGGAAAGCCAAGAGGCAGATCCCTTTTGATTAATTCCAGACTCCAGGTTTATCTGATTTATTCAGATCAAGAAAGACAGATTTGTTTCTTTTCATTTTAAGTACCTGCCTCCTATACTGTGTTTTAATTAGAGCTTTACTTACTCCAAAAACTTAGAGCATGTGGTCTGAATAATGGGGTTTTTTATAATGTCTCAGAGGAATGTTATTAAAGATGACTAGGTGAAAACTGAGTACCCCAGACCCTTAAAAATAATTTCTGGGTTTTCAAAACAGTCATGTCCTGGGAATACCTTGCCCAATTACCCCTAAACTTTCACCAAAAAAAAAAAAAAAAAAAAAAGCTCTCTTCTGGAAGGGGAACACAACAGACATTTTGGATGCACTGGTTTAGTTTTGAAGAAGTTAGAAGATGGGAAAAATTGGGCTTTTAACACAAACCTAAACAACAGAGACACTACAATCTCTCCATATTAGAGACTGTACATTGTCAACCCCAAAAGAAAGGGGTTGAAAAAAAATTTATTTTACTATGTGAAACAAATTTGGAGAAGCATTAGCTGTCTGTTGCTCGACTATGGAGATACAGTGCTTGGCACATTTTTTCTGTGTACCTAGAAAGAGAAAGCAACTAAAGAGAATACTTAACTAAAATGCTGAAACCCCTACACAGAAAAATTAAAACATGGGATGATTTGGAATCTAAGTTTCTTGCATCTGCTTACAAGAAGCAATACTTACAACAGTGCTACCTTGAGGGGGATGTAGTGCATTTCCATCGGGGTCCGGATGAGTTCAGCCACATCTGATGCATACCGATCCAGTTCTATTAGAAGTTTCTGTTTTTTAAACTGAACAAGAGAGAATGACCGAAAGCTGTCAGACATGGAAATACACTGTATCTATCTAGGGTCTTCAACCATGTCCATCACCATGATGTCTATATAGAGATGCTAGTCACCTGATACTTAGGACAAAGGTATGCTTAACAAGCCCAATTTTGACTCCCCTCCCTACTGACTTTGCCTGACCCAAACCATTCTGCTTGAAATTGCAGAGACATGATTGAATGCCAGACTTGGATTTTTCTGTCAAGTCAGGGAAATCAGAAGAGGCACTGGGGAGATATAGGAGCTCAAATAAAAACAAAGTGTTCGCACTTCCTGGACAATTTCCTAATGCTTTTTCAGCTCATAGCTCCAAAATAGCTTCCAGTTTAGTTTATTTTGTTGCCCTAAGTAACAGTAATAGTGATATTTGCTCGATTTGCGTGTGCAACGAGGGAGTTATTGAATCAGTTATTAAGAGTCATTTCGATGTACATTTTGAATGCCCAGTGTGTTTTCAAATGCAACATGGCAGCTTTTGTGCACTCTCTAAAGCCTGCATTGTCACCAAAGAATGGTGAACTTTACAAAACCCCCAATGTAACATCTAAGTTCTACACAAACAAAGCCATTCACTATGCTATACTCAGGATTGTGCATCTCTGTGTATGCCCGTTGCTTCAGAGCATCTGTCAGAGATCTCCTCTGGGCACCCAAAATATATTTCATATCTCCCCCACTAAAAATATATGTTCTCCAGAGAAGTGAAGAAGGTGATCTGTAAATCTACTGAAACTTCCCACAGAGAGTCTGAAGAACTGCTGTACTGGTGAGGATTTTTAGACACCAGGAACCATATCACCTTGTGCTATTATTTCTTCAGCTCTCCCAAGCTAAGCAAGGTTAGGCCAGGTCCCTGCTTAGATGAGAGACCTCCAATGAACACATAGGTGCTGCAGAAAATGTAGTACCCTTCCTTTAAATTGGTAATGAATCAATGTCCCAGCATGATACTAGGGAACACTGTGCTGCCGTTACAGACACAGAGTCTCCTATTTGCAAAGATTGCCTCAATTAAGTTATTTATGAAAGAAAGCACACCTTCCTCAGGGAGAGCCACTAGCTTCAAATTCCATATATTAATATTCTGAAGGGAATGATAGGGATTAAATCACTCCGGTGTCAGATTTCTTGCCCAGTGCAGCAGAATTATCGGTCTTCCACCATTCTGGATTATGTGAACTCAAACTGCAAGCTTCTTTACAGCTAATAAACCTTATAGTTACTGTTAGGTACTTTTTGGTCTGTAAATTAACCATGCTGCGTGTGGAGACAAAGCCAACCATGTGAGTAACTGGTTAAAAGCTGTAGTGGGAACAGGCCTAAGACTGAGAGCTCCACTGTCCTGCCAAATCCCTACAGCAGTAATTAGTTTTGCACACCTAAAATTCTCACTACAACTGAAAAGGAGTCCTCAATTCCTGTCTTAAACTGTTGTATCCCATCACTGTGTATGGTCAACCAGCTGCCATGTTTCACCCCAGAAGAGGCTGCATTTCACTTATGGTTGACCTGATCCCAAGGTATACTTTCAATATCAGTTTCTCAAATGCTTGAAGATCCTTTCAGATGAAAGGAGGTATGCATGTGAGAGATAATCATTAAAACTATGAGTGCACAGCCATTACGTTAACTTGAGTAACACCACAATACCTACATCATGCTTAGAAGCCACCCCCATGAAACAGCAGAAGTTAACAGGGTCCATGGAGACTCATCCACATTCTCCATCCATGTTTGCTGACCTTTTTGCGGATTTCGTAGCTATTGCTAATCAGTAGATATTGATAAGCGCATTGTCTGAGTAGACCTGGACTTGCTTCACATTTTCATTTAATGAAATACACTTGCACTGGTCGAGAGAACAAAGATCGGCAGATTCTGCAAGTCTGCTTACCACAACTTTGTTGAAGTCCTGGACGGCCAAGTAGAGGGCAACAGCAGTTAGCACATCAGTTATCTAAAGAAAGGAAAGCAGGAAAAGACTGACTGGTCACTCAAACAAGGAAAACAGTAGCAAATGCAACCACCACATGCCATACTGCACCAATACTCTGAATTGAACATTCACCATAGTTACTATTGGTAATAGTTCAGGGTGTGAGATGGAAACATCTCTGCAGATTCTAGCCCTGCGGGTCTTAAGCTATGGCCAATGAAGTAGCAGTGTTTCTTTAAGCCCTTCCTGGTGGACACAGAGAAGTGAATATTTTGAGAAGCAAGAAGTGGGGGACTGGAAGAGGAGAAATTGTTCACAAAATAGGAGGTCTCTCATCAAGTGGCCCAAAAGATAAGAGAGTTACAGAACCACTGATCTAGCCACAGCAGAGACAGCATGTTAGACACTGCACATATGGCTAAGAACACATTCACCAATGAACCAGAAGAGCAGCCTCCTGAACTGACCCACTGCTCACCAGATAACAGTATCAATTGTCTAGGGCTCATAGCAAATAATTTGAAATGGTTGCCATACATGTGTTATAATCAATTTTTAGCCCTTGTGAGATGTGCTAGATTGCCTTTGTCATCAGAGCTGCAGAGAATAGATGCAATTAGCTGGGTGATTTTTGTTTATTTGTATTATGGAATAGACAAAATAATTTACCGTTACACATGAGTGTTTTTAACTCTAATGTGCTCAGACAGAACCTGCTCCTACTCCCACTAAACTCCCCAGAGCATTGCCATTGATTTCTATAAGAAGCTCACAATTTGAAAGTATAATCTCTACATACTTCACTAAAAGTCACTTGCAGTGGAAAACCAGAGTTTGTACCCTATTTATTTAGGACAGTGGTTTTCAACCTGGGAGTCTGCAGACCATATCTAAAATTTCCAAAGGGATCCAAACCTCCATTTTAAATTTTTTTAGGGATCTGCAAATGAAAAAATGTTGAAAACCACTGCTATAGGGCACAAAACTCTCCCTCCCCTACCTTTTCAGGTCAGCGTTAGGGGTTTGTGTCAAGTCCCTGTTTTTCCCCTTGATGACATTTATCCAGGCAGGAAGTTCTAATGAAGATTAGTATTTGGAGGGAGACGGAGGTGCAAACTGAGCATGCTTATGTATAGACATGTCTTTCTTTCTAAATAGCTCTTGGGCTCATTAGGGGCCTAATCCACATAGCTGCTGATTGCCCTTAATTCTCACTGACGTGAATGGAAGCTGTGGGAACTGCGCACTCTCAACACTTCACTGATCTCAATGATCCCTCAGCTGGGCTAGGATTTGGTGGATAAAAATCAATAATTTAAAAAAATTAAATATATTTTTGCTTTTAAAAAGAAGGGCATTCCTGGAACAGGTTATTTTGTTTTTTAAAATAAGATTGAAGCAACACTTACCATGAACACCAATTCAGAATATTCAATCAGGAAATGAAACAAGTATATTATTAACGGGGTCTAAGAGAGAGTGAAAGAGAAAGACACAGTCAAATTTTATCAATCCCCTACAAACTCAGGCCCCAATCCTGCAAACTCTTAGTACCATGAGAAGTACGAATTACTTCACTGAGACTATTCACAACATTAAGAGCTATACTCAGTAGCATTCACAAAATCAGGCCATTAAAAAGGAAAGAAAATGTTTGCCCCAAGAAGGCAATGAATTAATCAGTTTATAGGGTGTCACTACACTGATGCTGGCACCACAGGTTTATTTCTGAACCCTTCTCCTCCAGCTGACCATAGCCTTGATCTTGCAAGCATTTACACTTTTATGCATATGAGCTTTGCTGGCGTATATACACTGCAGCTGGGATCTGTGATTCCCAGCATGGGTAGACAGACTTGCGCTAGCTCACCCTGAGCTAGCATGCTAAAAATAGCAGCGTGGATGTTGTTGCGTAGGTGGCAGCTCAGACTAGCTGCCCGCATCCAAGCCCACCCAATCCACTGGTCCAAGTTCAAGCAGCTAGCTCAAGCCGCTGCCCATGCCACAACATCTACAATGCTACGTTTAGCATGTTAGCTCGAGCTGTCGTGAGTCTGTCTGCCCATGCTAGGAATCATACCTCCCAGCTGCAATGTCCACATACAAACTACCCATGTGAACAAATTTTCTCAGATGCATAAGTGCTTGAAGGATAAAGGCCCTCACATGGAGGAGCAGGAAGAGCACCAGGATGTCAAATGTGGCATTGATATTACTGCAAAATATAGGAGGGACATGCAGGAGCACACCACCCAATAACCGTACCAGTGTTACTAGTGCTAGCCTGGATGACACACATCACATGCATGATCACGGATAACCCAACACCGATATGTTGATGACGCCTGTGAATTGAGTCATAACCTGATGATTGTTTCTTATCTTGATACACTAGTGCATTACGTTTAGAAAATGAAAATAATTCTGTCCAGAACAATTCTGTTCAGACTGCCAATAACACCGATATCTGCATTTCTATGATCTCTTTTCTACTAGGAAAATTTGCATGTGAACAGAATATTTGCAGCTAATGAAGTCCCCTGGTCTTAATTTTGCATATGCAGTAATAATCACCAGTTACAATGTCAATCAATTTTGCAGCAGCCAGCTGTGCTGTCATGAACGGTACTTTGTAGCAGGGCTACTCAATGCATATATTTGTTACACAGACAACTACATGATTCTGAAGTTTATAAATCAAGTTATTTATTTTTTGAAATTCACACAGTAGTACACACACACACATAGCTGGACATTTAAAGGCACTGTGTACGTATATAAGATAAAATAATATGAATTATTATCCTAGAAAAATGAAACACGTTCACTTACTTCATGGAAGACATCTCCAGAATAGGGTGAGACACCCAAATCCAGCAAAGCTAGCCCTTCAACAACTGAAACACACAAGATATCCACGTTAGGATTCTGTGGACTGGAGATATAGCAAATCTCACAAATGGCAGAATTATAGCTTTTAAAATATCTGTGATCATAAGAATTTCAAAATGAATCTCTGTCTGAACAGATCACACAAAATCATACAAAACTGACAGAGCAACTACAATTAGGTGTTTTCTGGTTTATTTCTACCATGCAAATTTGTCAAAACTGACACCACCTGCTATGATGTAATGATTTGTTTCAGGCAGTTAAAAATATTACAGTTGGAATGTTTTTCAATTAACTGTACACAGAATTCTCATGTGTCTGATTGATAAGGCATGCTACTGTCTCTGATTTTCTCACATTACATTTCTTCTGAAATAACAGCCACACCCACAAAACTAATACCTAGTCCATGCTGATAAAAGCTTCCATTCCCTAAGCAGGCATCAAGCCATTAGTAAGTTGCACATCTTGAAGGGAAACTACATTTTGAATGGAACTACTGTGTTTGGCTAGAGAGACATGGGACAGCCTTGAAAGTCACTTTTACAGTCCTGAACCAGATGCACACAATACAAAAAAATTATATTAATAATTATTATAGGTGGGGCTGGTTGCACTGCCTATTTTTAAGGCTGCCCACCACTTCCAATTATAAGACCCTGTTTCCAGTTGCTTACAATTCGGACAAACTTCAAGCATTCAGGCTGAAATTTTCCTTAATATAGGTGCATACCTCAGGCTGAATGTTTTAAGGAAATTTCAGCTAAAATGGTTCAGCTGTTTCCAAGAATGGGGCTTCTGAAAAAAGTATGTAGTTTTGTCCACATTAAAAAATTCTGGCGACCTTTTCTTTGAGAAACTCTGTGTTCTTATCAATGGCTATGAGCAAAGATAATCAAGGATGAAATCCCATTTTCCGGGTGTCCCTACACCTCCAACTTGCAGAAGCTGGGACTGGATGAGAGGGGACGGAATCACTCAAAATGGCCCTATTCTGTTCATTCTCTCTAAAGCGTCTGGCACTGGCCACTTTTAGAAGACAGGATACTGGGCTAGATGGATCACTGGTTTGACTCAGTGTGGCTGTTCTTATCCCCATGCTTTAGTGCACGGTCTTGAAATTTGGCAGCAGAGCCTTAGTGTCAGGGATGTGTCTTTTGTTGAACCAGTGAAAGTTTGGCCAAGTTATAAGCCTTTGAAAGATCATAGATTACACATGTTCAGTAAGGACTTGCTAGAGCTTCACAGTTAAATTTCTCAAAGACTCCATCTGCACTGAGCATGCTCCAGCATGGAGCTGAGCACAACCTTCCTTGTAATTGCAGCTCAGGGATGCTGCAACATGGGCACTGGAATTGAGACTGTCTCTCCTGTGCTCTCAATGACCTCCATGCTGGGCTCAGGACATGGTGGATGAAAAAAAAAAATTAGTAATTAAAAAACTGACTTTTTTATATAAAAGTAAATATATTTTTGCTTTGAAAAATAAAGCAATTTAAAATTAAATATGAAGTTAAGACAACTTGTTAAGGCCTAAACTTACTGTACTCTTAAAATTAAAGAAAAATAATATAAAGCTGTACATGATTGCTGCTGATGCTTTAAAGAAAGTCAAACCACTGAACTGGTGGAAGTCACTGGCCAAGCACCTGGAACCAGTTTGGTGAAGTGCTAAACCAGCTTTAGATAGCATTGGTCTCTTCCACAGGTACAGAGACTATTTTCTTCATTTCAGATCATTCAACTCGTTTAGTTCAAAGGTTATTTCATTCAATGTTAAAAAGCCAGCTAGGAAAGCTTGTTTTACTCTTCCAATATATGAATAAAAAATAGGCGTGAGGATGAAATCTACTAGTTGTAAAATCTTGAAGAATATGGGCTCAGATCCACAAAGGGACTTAAGTGTTGCAATGCTGAGAGTTGTGGCGCCTAACTTTCAGGCACCTAGAAAACCACTGGAACAACAGTGGGATCCACAAAGCCTGAGTTAGGCACCTAGGCTCCGAATGGGAAGAGACAGGCACCTATAGAATGCAATCCATAAAAGCCAGCAAGCTTTGTGGCTTCCCACCTTGGCTAGCCAATGGAAGAGGACAAGAAGAGGGGCATATACTAAAACTCTCCTCTCTCAGCCAGAGTTAGCTATCACTTTCTGCTAGTGATCCACAACTAGGAACCTCTCTCCTGGAGTCAGGCGGCTTAGGTGTCTAAGCCGTTTCTTCCGAGAACAAGCCGTGGCCGACGCTGTAGAGTTAGGTCAACAACTCTGTAAGCGTCTACGCTACAACATTGCTCCCACTGATGTGGGTCACCCACTACACCAACCTAATAACTCCACCTCCGCAAGAGGCATAGTGCTTAGGTCAACGTAATGAGGTCGATGCAGCATCAGCGTAGACACTGTGTTGTTTACATCACCCCAGGCTCCGGCTGTCAGCCCAGGGTGACCATATGTCAATGTAACTTAAATCAACTTAATTTTGTAATATAGGCTTTCCCTGAGTTAGGCACCTATCATGCACCACACAAAATAGCAGGAGGTGGTGGTGCTGCCCACCTTATCACTTTAAGCCTAGTGGGATGTGGGAGACCCAGGTTCAATTTGCCTCCCCTCCCTGTAGCCAAAGAGAAAGAAAAGACTTGAACAGGGTCTCCCACCTCCAGGAGAACTCTCTAAACAGGGGCCTATTCTGGGGTGGGGCTCACAAGCTGTTCCAGACCAGAAAAGAAGAGATGGCATCAAGCCTCTTTTGGCCACTGAATCGGGTTTTATAAGAAGAACCAGAAACAGTGAAATTACTCTGAGATTTCTTGTCTCCCCCCACCCCCGCGACTGCCAGCTCCAGTCCAAGGGCTTCTGCAAAGAGCCTCGGCCTCCTGCCTACAGGGGGTACTTTGATCCCGTCTCTACTCTCACGCCCAGGGTTTGCACCCAGCGACAAACACACGCGCCGGTTTCCAGCTCGAGAGAGCCGCATCTTGCAGGGCTCTAGCCCCTCGCAGCTTAGCCCCAACGCCCCCGGCCCAGGAAGTCCTGCTGGCAGGGGCCTGTCACGCTGCTTGTCTGCAAAGCGCTGCACGCTCGGGACCGCGTGTTAACCGACACTCCTGTCAGCGAGGCTCACGGCCCTGCAGGGCTCGCCTCCGGCCGGGGCAGCCTATTCATCCAGCCCGGGGCGGTGCCGGGTGCTGGGGGGCTGCTCCCCCGGGGCCGGGGGGGAGGAGGGGGTCCGGGGCGGTGCTCCCCCGGGGCCGGGGGGGGGGGGGTCGGGGGGGTGCTCCCCGGGGCCGGGGGGAGGAGGGGGTCCGGGGGGGGGGGGGCGGTGCTCCCCCGGGGCCGGGGGGGAGGAGGGGATCCGGGGGGGGGGCGGTGCTCCCTCGGGACCGGGGGGAGGAGGGGGTCCGGGGGGGTGCTCCCCCGGGGCCGGGAGGGAGGAGGGGGGCCGGGGGGAGGGGTGCGGGGCGGTGCTCCCTCGGGGCCGGGGGGGAGGAGGGGGTCCGGGGCGGTGCTCCCCCGGGGCCGGGGGGGAGGAGGGGGTCCGGGGGGAAGGGTGCGGGGCGGTGCTCCCCCGGGGCCGGGGGGAGGAAGGGGGTCCGGGGGGGGCGGTGCTCCCTCGGGACCGGGGGGAGGAGGGGGGCGGTGCTCCGCCGGAGGGAGGCTGCTGCCCCGCAGGTCTCACCTCGCTTCCAGGCGTTTACAGGGGACGCCACCTCGACCCGCTCGGAGATGAACCCGGCCAGGCTGGAGCGATACAGCACGGCACGGACCGTGACGGCCACCACAATCCCCAGCACCAAGGGAGCTGCCATCTTAGCGGGGGAACAACGACCTCGGCGCGGGTTGTAGTTCCCAGCTTGGGCTAAGGAGCGGGGCTCCTATGGGTCAGTCTCGTACAAAAGACTACAACTCCCAAGATCCTCTGCTACTCAGTCGCCTTCCGTTTCCCGACACATCGCTCAAGCTACGGGCAGTGCAATGGGACAAGCCTAGGAGGGATGCGAATTAGTGGGTGGGTCCCCAGACCAGCTGCTTCCAATCCCTGCTGAGTGCGGTTGCAACACTTAGGGCAGAGAGGAGCCCTTCAACCTCAAGGGGCTTCCAGGGAGAGTGCCCCTGGTTAGAGCCCTGCAAATCTATTTGTGGACTGTGCTTGCAGATCGGATGCAGATACACATTTCGTATCCATGGAGGGGTCTACCCATGGTTCTGCTCTCTTCTAGCCCTCTTCCTGGCTTCTCATTGCAGCAGCCTGGTGGGTGGCTCTCCCCTCTGCCATGGCCACAACCACTGCTCCCCCTCTCTGGATGAAGCACTCTCAGTAGGGTTGCCAACTTTCTATTTGCAGAAAACCAAACACCATTGCCCCAACCCCTGCCCTGAGCCCCCGTCCCGTCTCCAAGGTCCCTCCCCCTGCTCGCCCCATCCCTCTGTCACTCACTTTCCCCTACCTTCACTCACTTGCTCATTTTCACGGGGCTGGGGCAGAGGAACGGGAGGAGATGAGGGCTCCGGCTGGGGATGCAGGCTCTGGGGTAGGACCAGAAATAAGAGGATCAGGGTATAGGAGGGGGCTCTGGGCTGGAGCAGGAGATTGGGATGGGGGGGGGTGAGGGCTCTGGCTGGGGGTGCAGGCTCTGCGGTGGGGAGGGGGATGAGACATTTAGGGCGAAGGAAGGGGCTCAGGGCTGGGGTGCTGGCTCTGGTGTGGGGCCAGAGATGAGGGGTTCAAAGTGCAGGAGGGGGTTCCAGGCTGGGGCAGGTGGTTGGAGTGCATGAGGGGTTGCAGGAGGGGGTGTGGGCTCTGGGAGGGAGTTTGGGTGTGGGAGGGGTCTCAGGTAGGCAGTTGGGGTGCAGGCTCCAGGAGGGAGTTGGAGTGCGAGCGGGGGTTTGTGGTGCGGGGCGGGCTCCAGGTGGCACTTACCTGAGGTGGCTCCTGGAAGTGGCGACGTCCTCTGGCTCCTAGGCCCAGGGGCTGTCAGGGAGGCTCTGCGCCCTGCCCTTGGCCCACAGGCGGCGCCCCCGCAGCTCCCATTGGCTGTGGTTCCTGATCAATGGGAGCTGGCAAGCTGTGGAGCTGGCTCTCAGGGCGGGGGCAGCACCAGGAACCCCCTGACCGCTCCTACACTTAGGGACATGTCGCCGCTTCTGGGTACTGCGCGGATCCAAGGAGCCTGCCTTAGCCCCTCTGTGCCTCTGACCAGACTTTGAATGTGCCAGTTAGCGGCCACCAGGGTCCCTTTTTGACCAGGTGTTCTGGTCAAAAACCGGACACCTGGCAACCCTAAGGCCTGGTCTACACTATGAATCTAGGTCAAATTTAGCAGCGTTACCTCAGTTTAACACTGCACCTGTCCACACGACAAAGCCCTTTTTTTCGACTTAAAGGGCTCTTACAATCGATTACTCCACGCCGACGAGGGGATTAGCACTGAAATCGGCCTTGCTGGGTCGAATTTGGGGTACTCTGGATGCAATTCGATGGTATTGGCCTCTGGGAGCTATCCCAGAGTGCTCAGTTGTGACCGCTCTAGACAGCGCTCTCAACTCAGATGCACTGGCCAGGTAGACAGGAAAAGGCCCGCGAACTTTTGAATCTCATTTCCTGTTTGGCCAGAGTGGCGAGCTCACCTGCACAGGTGACCATGCAGTCCCAGAATCGCTGAAGAGCTCCAGCATGGTCCACCCGGGAGGTACGGGATCTGATCACTGTATGGGGAGACGAATCTGTGCTGGCAGAATGCCGTTTGAAAAGACGAAATGCCAAAATATTTGAAAAAATCTCCAGTGGCATGAAGGACAGAGGCTATAACAGGGACCCGCAGCAGTGCTGCGTGAAAATTAAGGAGCTCAGGCAAGCCTACCAAAAAACCAGAGAGGCAAACGGCCGCTCCGATTCAGAGCCCTAGACATGCCGCTTCTATGATGAGCTGCATGCCATTCTAGGGGGTGCAGCTACCACTACCCCAACCCTGTGCTTTGACTCTGTCCAAGGCAACACGGAAGCGGGTTTTGAGGGTGAGGGAGATGATAGCTCACAGCAAGGAAGCGGAGAAACCGGTTTCCCCAACAGCCAGGATCTGTTTGTCACCCTGACCTGGAGCCTGTACCCCCCAAACCCACCCAAGGCGGGCTCCCGGACCCTGAAGGCGGAGAAGGGACCTCTGGTGAGTGTACCTTTGTAAATATTATACATGGTTTAAAAGCAAGCGTGTTTAATGATTAATTTGCCCTGGCATTCGTGGCCAGTAAAGCTACTGGAAAAGTCTGCTAATGTGTCTGGGGATGAAGCGGAAATCCTCCAGGGTCATCTCCATAAAGCTCTCCTGGATGTACTCCCAAAGCCTTTGCAAAAGGTTTCTGGGGAGGGCAGTCTTATTCCATCCTCCTCGGTAGGACAATTTACCACACCAAGCCAGTAGCACGTAGTCGGGAATAATTGCAGAACAAAGCATTGCAGCGTATGGTCCCGGTGTTTGCTGGCATTCAAAAAACATCCATTCTTTATCTCTCTGTGTTACCCTCAGAAGAGTGATATCATTCATGGCCACCTGGTTGAAATAGGGTGGTTTTAGTAAGCAGACATTCAGAGGTGCCCGTTCCTGCTGGGCTGTTTGCCTGTGGCTGAACAGAAATCTTCCCCGCTGTTAGCCACATGGTGGGGGGAGGGGTGAAGCCATCATCCCAGAGAATTGGGTGTGGGGAAGGGGGTTATTTGGGTTTCTGCTGCATGTTAACCCGGAAACTGCAGCCCCTCCTTTTAAAATGCCAACCCATTTTAAATGGCCAACCCAACAGCTACTTCGTATGGGAAATGAGGGTGCTGCTGTTTGAAACCATTTCCACATGTTATGAAAGTTAAAGAAGCCAAAAGACTGTGGCTTACCATGGCTGCCTGCAAGCCGAATTCTGTTGCCCGGCCCTGCGGGAGTGATCTCTCACACCAAACCGGCATACCCTCAATAAGAGGCAAAATGCAACCTTGTAATGAAAGCACATGTGCTATGTAATGTTAACAGCAAGGTTTACCATGAAAGAGTGTACCCATTGTTCTATAAAATGTGTCTTTTTAACTACCACTCTCCCTTTTTTTCCCTCCACCAGCTGCATATGTTTCTCCTTCCCAGAGGCTAGCAAAGATTAGAAGGCAAAAAAAACGCACTCGTGATGAAATATTCTCTGACCTCATGCTGTCCTCCCACACTGACAGAGCACAGCAAAATACGTGGAGGCAGACAATCTCAGAGTGCAGGAAAACACAATATGACTGCGAGGAGAGGTGGCGGGCTGAAGATGGTAGGTGGCGTCAGCTTGCTGAAAGAAGGCAGAAGTCAATGCTCAGGCTTCTGGAGGATCAAACTCATATACTCCAGCATATCGTTGAGCTGCAGGAAGGGCAGCAGGACCACAGACCGCCACTACAGCCCCTGTGTATCCAACCGCCCTCCTCCCCAAGTTCCATAGCCTCCTTACCCAGATGCCCAAGAATGCAGTGGGGGGGCCCCCTCTGGCCACCCAGCCACTCCACCCCAGAGGATTGCCCAAGCAACAGAAGGCTGGCATTCAATAAGTTTTAAAGTGCTGTGTGGCCTTGTCCTTCCCTCCTCCACCACCCCTCCCGAGCTACCTTGGCAGTTATCCTCCTATTTGTGTGATGAATAAATAAAGAATGCATGAATGTGAAGCAACAATGACTTTATTGCCTCTGCAAGCGATGATTGAAGCGGGGAGGGGAGGGCGCTTAGCTTACAGGAAAGTAGAGTGAACCTGGGAGTGGGGGGGGTTTCTGTCAAGGAGAAACAAACAGAACTTTCACACCATAGCCTGGCCATTCCTGAAACTGGTTCTCAAAGCTTCTCTGATGTGTATCGCACCCTCCTGTACTCTTCTAACCGCCCCGGTGTAAGGCTGCGCATAATCAGCAGCCAGGCGATTTGCCTCAACCTCCCACCCGCCATAAACGTTTCCCCCTTACTGTCACAGATATTGTGGAGCGCACAGCAAGCAGTAATAACAATGGGAATATTGGTTTCGCTGAGGTCTAAACGACTCAGTAAACTGCTCCAGCGCACTTTTAAACGCCCAAATGCACATTCTACCACCATTCTGCACTTGCTCAGCCTATAGTTGAACAGCTCCTGACTACTGTCCAGGCTGCTTGTGTATGGCTTTATGAGCCATGGCATTAAGGGGTAGGCTGGGTCCCCAAGGATAACTATAGGCATTTCAACATCCTCAATGGTTATTTTCTGGTCTGGAAAGTAAGTCCTTTGCTGCAGCTGTTGAAACAGACCAGAGTTCCTCAAGATGTGAGCATCCTGTACCTTTCCTGGCCATCCCACATTGATGTTGGTGAAATGTCCCTTGTAATCCACCAGTGCTTGCAGCACCATTGAAAAGTACCCCTTTCGGTTTATGAACTCGCTGCCTTGGTGCTCCGGTGCCAAGATAGGGATATGGGTTCCATCTATCGCCCCACCACAGTTAGGGAATCCCATTGCAGCAAAGCCATCCACTATGACCTGCACATTTCCCAGAGTCACTACCCGTGATATCAGCAGCTCAGTGATTGCGTGGGCTGCTTGCATCACAGCAGCCCCCACAGTAGATTTGCCCACTCCAAATTGATTCCCGACTGACTGGTAGCTGTCTGGCATTGCAAGCTTCCACAGGGCTATCGCCACTCGCTTCTCAACTGTGAGGGCTGCTCTCATCTTGGTATTCTTGCGTTTCAGGGCAGGGGAAAGTAAGTCACAAAGTTCCATGAAAGTGCCCTTATGCATGCGAAAGTTTTGCAGCCACTGGGAATCGTCCCAGACCTGTAACACTATGCGGTCCCACCAGTCTGTGCTTGTTTCCTGGGCCCAGAATCGGTGTTCCAGGCCATGAACCTGCCCAACTGACAACATGATGGGCACATTGCAGGGGCCCGTACTTTGTGAGAAGTCTATGTCCATGTCCTCATCACTCTTGTCACCGCGCTGCAGTTGCCTCCTCCTCTCCTGGTTTTCCTTTTCTTGCAGGTTATGGTTCTGCATATCCTTCTGAATAATGCGTACGGTGTTTGCAGTGCTCATAATTGCCGCGGTGATCTGAGCGGGTTCCATATTCCCAGTGCTACGGCATCTGCGCTGAAAAAAGGCGCAAAACGATTGTCTGCCGTTGCTCTGATCAAGGGAGGGGCGACTGACAACATGGCTTACAGGGTTGGCTTACAGGGAATTAAAATCAACAAAGGGAGTGGCTTTGCATCAAGGAGAAACAGAATGCCCCCCCCCCCAAGGATAGAACTCAAAACCCTGGGTTTAGCAGGCCGTTGATTTCACAGAGGGAGGAGAAAATGAATACAAATGAATAAAAAACGAATCTGGTCTATTTCTTGTTTTGATCCACTTCATCTATCTTTATACATCTTGCTGGCAGCACACGGTGCAGTACAACTGCTAGCCATCATCATCTCCTGGGTGCTCGGCAGAAGACAGTGCAGTACGACTGCCAGCAGGACTGAATCTCCATGAGACGAAACTTAAAAGGGAAATGACCTGGCTGAGTCACTCCCATGTCTGCCCAGGCGCCCCTGACCGACTTCACCGAGATCGGCTAAAAGAGCACCGTGGAGTACAGCGGCGATGGCTACCAGTCATACTGCACTGTCTGCTGCCAAAAGGCAATGAGCTGCTGCTGTGTAGCAATGCAGTACCGCGTCTGCCAGCACCCAGGAGACATACGGTGACAGTGAGCTGAGCGGGCTCCATGCTTGCCGTGGTATGGCGTCTGCAGGGGTAACCCAGGAAAAAAGGCGCGAAACGAGTGTCTGCCATTGCTTTCACGGAGGGAGGGAGGGAAGGGAGAGCCTGATGATATGTACCCAGACCCACCCACGACAATGTTTTTGCCCCATCAGGCATGGGGATTTCTACCCAGAATTCAAATGAGCGGCAGAGACTGCGGGAATTGTGGGATAGCTACCCACAGTGCAATGCTCTGGAAGTCAACGATTGCCTCAGTACTGTGGACGCACTCCGCCGACTAAATGCACTTAGAGCATTTGTGTGGGGACACACAGAATTGACTTTATAAAAACGCTTTCTACAAAACCGACTTCTATAAATTCGACCTAATTTCGTAGTGTAGACATACCCTCCCTATTCTTAATGTTCAACAAGATTCTCAGAGGAATCAACTTCCAGCTGCCATCTGTCTGCCTCCTGGCCCCATTGCACCCAACAAGACTCTGGGGCATATACCTCAGGTGGGATAAGAGCACTGAACTGCTCTCTGCACAGGTTGAGAGACCATTGCAGACTAGGTGCCCTTCAGAGGTCCCAGAAAGGAGGAAAAGTATTGAGGTCAACAAGAGATGAGTGGCTGGTCACACAGACAAACAAAACCTGTTTGGCTGAGTTTCCCTTTTCACCCTGGGCATGAAAGCTCATTCCAGTAAGGACATAGCTTCCCTCAGCTCAGGACAAGGCCATCTCAGAGTTCAGCTCTGCCAGGCAGCAACCATGGATCTCCATCCAGCCCTTCATTCACCAGTATGTGAGTGCCTCTGGAACTGTGGGCTTTGGGCTTAGAGTCTTGGGAACCATTGTCCAAGAGGTTCCATGGTCTGCTGTCCACGTGCTGGTATGGGTACTGCTAGGCATAGCCCATTGTGTTTCTCTCTCACACATCCAGAAACATTTTGGTCTTACTTGTAAATACAGTTTCTGAGTGGGATCCCCCCCCAGTCTGTAAACCCATCTGAGTCTCCGTCCAGGTAGTGTTGGGTTAGATTGGTAGAAGCAGTGCAAATTCTTTCCAGGGGCACCAAAATCTCAAAAAGGAAGTGGGGGAAAAAAACAGTTCATTCCAAAATTGGTGGAGGGGCCTCACGCAGAAAATGAATCTACAAGGATAAAAACCCAAATCCCACCTTTTCTAGTTTATCCTTCAGATGCTGATAAACAACCTGCCTGTAGGATAAACCTGGGCTGGAAGAGCTTTGTGTATGGCTGCTGCTTTGACGACAGGTGGCATCGTGTCCTTATTCTGCAGACCTTCCATAGAGGAGATCTCTAAGCCACAGCCAGCCAGCCAGCCAGCCACTGTAATCCATTTAATTCCTGTCATCTCTAGGTTGCAGAGACAGTATGGGGTTTGGAAATTATGTCCTTTATTTCTTTGCTGAATCAAGGTACTCAAGCCCTTTCATGTTTGAAGGAAATGATTCTAAAGAGCACAATTTTTATTCAGATCTCCTCAAAACCCAAGCACTGTTATATCCTTCCACAGACCACTGGTGATTTAGGATTGGATCTCAATGTTTTGTGAAGCGATGTATAAAGGTGGGTAGTTTGCCCTTTATGAATAAGTAAGATATATTTTCTTAATTTAGAGGCTTATAACTAGCAAATGGAAAACTCTGATGTTAGATATTCCTGGATATTTGTTAAGAAAGCTCTTTGGATTACATTTTCTGGTACTTTTGCCAAAACTAGGAGACCAATCATTTAGTCCGGAAACAAGAAGAAGAAAGGACTTAAGTAATCTGTTAAAAAAACATGAAAGACAGGGTAAAAACCTCAGCCCCTCTGTTCTACTCAGATGTTAGAAAACAGAGACATACTTCACATGGTGGTAAATACTAAATCAGCCAAAGAAAATACTTATTTTCATAGCATCCAGTCGTCCTGTGGAATTCTCGGTCAAATAATGTGGCCACATTTATAAATCCTGACCACAATATTCGTACTGTAGTTATACAATCTTAGATCTAGATTGTAGAACTGTGGCCACTTGTGGGGATGGAGAGGGAGAAATGCACCATTTCTGCGCCTCTGCAGTTGCTGAGAAAGGCAGAATGCTTCTGGGACAAAGTCAGCACAGGTAAGAGCCTTTAAAAGGGTGCTGCATGCTTTCTCCCCACCACCAGCCGACAAGGGTTAATGGGTGTAGAAAGTAGATTGTTAGCCCTTTGGGGCAGGGGCCATCTCTTTGTTCTGTGTTTGTACAGCGCCTAGAACAGAGAGGCCCTCATTCATGATCAGAGCCCCTAGATGCTACCACAATACAAACAGTAATAATAATATGGTAGGCAGGGACCTGCAAACCTCCAGCCACTCCCCATTTGGGGCATGGAGCACTTCTAACGGAGCTCACCCATCTGCCCCATAGTCCGTCTGCTTCCCACATGGGTGTACAAAGAGCAGATGGCTCCCTGCATCCTGGTTACATTCCCCCTTTTGTGCCTGTACAATGGCAGATACAATCTGGCCAGAAAATAATACGGATTATCCATTCTCATGCTTCAGGGGAACACAGTTCACTCAGTCAAGCAGGAAACGTTCCTTCCAAGGACCAGAGATGGCTTGGTGCATCATGATGGCGGTGGAAGCAATTTGTAGAGTTTGCCTCCTATTAGCATTGGGTATTGCATGGGCACTGCTGGAAGCAGCATACTGGACTAAATGGCCCCAAGGATGGATCAGGGCTGACAAATCCTAGGAGTCAGATTTGATTTATTCTGTAAAGAGCGAGTAGAAAATGCTGACTGTTTTGTTTGCAGCACAGCACCTTGCTCACATTTGTGAACCATGTTCCCCTGAGATTTCTGATCAGACTCACATTTGTCCTTTCTAGAACTGGTCGCTAACTGAATAACACAATTCTGAACCAGCTTCC